TAAAAAGCCTATTAGCGTATGTATTTAAGAAAGATGGTCTGATGTAAAAGTTATATTTACATCTTTGAGATGTCCTGTTTTCATATTTCTGAATAACATGATTGATAATAGGAAAGTGACATCACAGTACCTAGTGAATACAGAGTCTAAGAAAAAAACTTATTCTGTTCAAAGTAGATTGGAATCAGTCATATATCTAATTTGTTGTAATTTTATATCATGGAGGTAGGATCAGAACCGGGCTACTAGTGCCTGGTTCTATTATAGAGCAGAAAAATTTTCAAATAACTGAAGATTTTTATTTTTCATTAGAGAATTCAATATGAGAGCTATACTTAAAACATACATATTTTTATGTGGGTTTTTTTTAGACTAGATTTACATTACATTTACACTATTGATTTCCCATACTTTTTCCCTGAGGGCACTTTCATGAAACAGAGAAACCACTTACTTTATTCCTACGGGGGGTCATTCCACAGGCCAGGAGATGTAGGATTCCAAGGATCCTGGGTCAATTTCACTGAGGCAGCTATTTACTTGAATTCACCTGGAGAATATTAGTCATAACTTGTGAAAATTTAGGATCAAGACCAAAGATATATTAAGTCTTAATGATAAATTCATACATGAAAATGAGATACAAAACCAAGAATAGGTGCTTAGCAGAATTTGGGATAAAGTAAAAAGAGAAAAGCAAAACTAGTATGTCAAGGATGTCACAAAATGGATAAATAGGTGGTACCCTGCCTTAGTCCCCCTACAGAAACACTAATTTAGCAACTATCCGTGGACAAAAATGCCTTTATGAAAATTCCAGAATCAAGAGGTAGGGTACAACACCATGGTAGAGCACAAAACTGAGAAAAAATGCATTAAAAAGAGTAAAAATCACCCTTCTTTGTCTGAAACACCTCTCCCCCAAGCCAACACAACACAGAACCAAGAAGGATCCCCTTGACTCATGACTTCTCCAGTGGGAGAAAGAGATCAAGGTAGATGTACAACTTTCCCAGTTTGCGGACATTGCCCAAGTGGCCCACATCTGTCTTGCTTCACATAAAACACTTGGGGAATTGGCATGGCTAGGCCACCTGGGGACAGTTAGGAACAAAGAAAATGGACAGGAGCTCTCAGTGGCCAGTGCATGCAGGTCTCAGTGGTAGCCGCCTGGCTCTTGCCAGCAGCCTTGCCTGACCGTGACCATAACTGAAAGCCTTACCAAACTGCACAGCCCAGGCAGCTGGATCCACCCAACTGTGGGGCCCAGACAGCAGCCTTACCTGACCACAGAGCTCAGCCAACCAGACCCATTCAACTGTGAAGCACTACCTGCTAGTCATGCTCAATAATAAAGCACTGGCAGAAGGCCACACCTAACCAAGGATTCTGTAGGCTCTAACTGCAAACCCCACAAACTTCAGCCATAGGCCTCACCTACCCGTAAACATTGCCCACTGGCCCATCCAGAATCCCTTTCTCTCTAAGAATATCCATTAACTCTTCCATATGTATCCTTTAAGAAAATTTCTATGAACATCCAAGCACATGTATATGAGTATGTATACACACACACACACACACACACACACACACACTTATATGTTCATCATGATCACCTATCCTTATTACCACAGACATTAATTTCATTAATCGGCTTCTACAAAAATTAGTTTACTTAACCAGTCCCCTACCAACAAACATTTAGGTTCTTTTCATTGTCTTGCTAAAACCAACAATACTACAGCAAACATCCTTGTATCTTTGAATACTTTTGAAAATTCTTCCAATAGACAAATTCCCAGCGGTAGAGTTTCTGGGCCAAATTTTAGGTGCATGTTGGAATTTGATTGATTTTGCTAAATTAGTATCTAAAAAGGTTGGAACAATTTACATGACTTTGTAAGAGTGTCTGTTTACCCATAATCTCATCAACATTGGGTATTAAAAAGGATTCTGCACTATTTTGATATTCTTTTCTTTTCATGAATGCCACTACATTTCTTCAGAAAAGGTTAAATAACTGGAATCAATGGTGAAATACTTGATAAGTAAATGAAAATGGCCCTGATGCTTTCCTTTAGTATTAAATCTTTTAGAGAGAGAGAAAGTGAAAGGAGGGAGGAGAAACACCCTATTGCATTTGACTATACCTAGGTCAGAAAATATTCAAGGCACATAGAATGTGGAAACAAAATCTAAAAAAATAAGCCTCTCTTTTGTTCCACAAGTGTATTGTAATATGCGCTAGTCAAAATAAAATCTGTCTTGCAGAGCACTGAATTTTTCAGCAGCAATAATTATCTCTGTTTATTTCATTTTCTACTTTGGGAAAAGCATAAGAGCCATGCAGAGTGTACACATGAGTTTCACAGATGTGGTCTAAAGTACTCATATACTAAGCCCTTTTATCTGACTACTGCTGGGTCAATTAGCCGGCATAGAAAAGAACACAGTGACATGCGTTTTCCAAGAATTTGACATTGAATTTGAGCACACAGTCTAGTTTTACCTTTCAATATACTATTTAATGCAGTGAAGCTCTACTGAAAGTATAAGGGATATTGTCTACTACTCTTTATTCCATGTTCTAATCAAACAAAATAAACTACAAAATGCTGTAGTGGTCATTACACTGAATTAATCAAAATAATTTACTCAATGTCATTATTTAATGAAAGGACACTAACACACACACAAAATATTGTAGAATACCTACATAACAAGAGAAGAGAAATAATAAAAGAAACTTTAAAGTTCATTGTCAAAATATAATTATTACTGTGTATGGGCATTCTACACAAGAATGTTTAAGATAAAAGCTTCAGGATTCAAGTAATTATTTGTTCAAATTTTTTCCATGTGGTTGACATGTCAATGACTAATTCTGCTAGCTTGGTCCCATAACTATTGCATTAAGTTATTTACCAAATAAGTATAAATCTCACTTTTATGTGCAAAAATAATTTTTTCATGTATGTATTACTCTGATTTTGAAACTACAAAATTACTGGGATGGTGTGAGTAAAATTCAGGTTGTTCCCACGCTCCAGTAAAAATAAAAGTAGAAACAGAAATCTTTTCAAGAGCACATATACAATTTAACAAAATATATAGTTATTTTTGTCAAATTATTGGTTAATTAAAGCAAATTTTGGTTGGTTTGTTTTGAAGATACCTTTGCTAAGTATACCGACCAGTTTACTCACGATGAACAATTAAAATTATATATTTATACTATCTCCATTCTATAACCAATTCATAAAGTTAGCTGGTGCTTTTTTTTTATATAAAAATAACGTAACCTATGTTCCATTATCATCTCTTCCTTACAGACTTGATCATGTTGTTTCATGTTTAGATTGTCACTGGTTTCCTAACTTATTGCCCTGATTCTTCATCTTTTCTTAGACATTATATGCTAATACTGAAGCCAGATAATATTCTTAAAACATTGTTTTCCTCATCTGACTCCCCTGAACAAAATAATAAACTGGCTTCTTTGTAACTATGTAAAAAAGCTCCAACTCCTTCAATTGGCCTTCAAAGCCCTTTGAAATCTAAAATAAATCTATCTTTTATATGTAATTTCTCATTTCTATCTATATGTGTCAGAGACTGTTGATAGCATCCTAATATTCATCCTCCCCTTCCACTTTGGTACATTTTGTCTGATCATATTGTCATCTGGTGTAATTACTACATCTTCCAATCCTCTTTGTAGCTAGAGGTGTGATCATGTGACTACATTCTGTCCATTGACATGTTAGCAGAAGTGTAGGCCTGCCCAGGACAGCGCTTAAAGAACAGCTGTTAATACGTGAAGGAATTATACTCATTTGAGAAATATATGCCATTTGCTTTCCTGCATTTCCTTCTTTCTTCCTTTCTCCCTTCATTCTACCCTAGGCATTGTTCTACATGCTAGAGACAAAACAGGAAGCAAATAGCAGAAACTTAGTGCTCTCACTCAGTATATTATCCTAGTGCTTTAAAGAATGTAATACAATGAATGGCTAGAGCTCCAGCAACCACATCACACCACAAGGTAAACTGGAGGATAGAAATCATGTGTGCAGAACAGAAAAAGAAGAAATAATAATCTCTGATGAGTTCATGGAACATGAATTCAAGCCATAATTCCAACCAGATTCTGTCACAGCTTCCAAACTTCTTTCACCTGAAAATACAAACTCTCTTGTGCTTAAGCTTCTGCATTTGAGTCTGCAAAAGTAAAAACCAAAACTTAAAGTTCCTGATACACATTTTTCAAAATGTATGTCTTATTTCATTTCCTCCAAACCATCCTCCTGTGGTCTGCCAGCAATCCCTGCCCACTTTTGACCCTATATGATCTCTAGGTGCTCTGAACACCCAATGGGTCCATTTACTACATGCATTAGTGCTTTTTGCAAGCTCTTTTGCATTATTATCTTTTAGTGTGTAAATGTTAGCCCTTCAACTATGCTATAAATAATCTAAGGGTAGGTGGAACGTCTATTTATACTTGGTATTCCTCAGGACAAAATTCAGTACCCTATAACAAATATTTAATGAACAATTGAATAACTATTTCCTTTTTTTCCCAAAATTCAAATGTTTAAATTTTTTTGAAAACTTAACTATACTTATGAAAATAGACTATCTTCAATATGCTTACATCAGCTTTATACAATAATAACAGTGCTTTCAAAAAGACATTTTGCAAAGAACATTAATTTCACAATTAAAATGTGTTTTAAAAATAGGGGAACATTAAAGAACATTAAATTCGTCTGAAATATATGTCATAATGCCGAGAGATATACTGTTCTTTATCAAGTCAACCGTATTTGTATTCAAAATAACATGGCTCTTAACTAATGACAATTATTTCTTATCCACTTCAGTGATTTCTTGGATCCAAAACAAAATCTTTGTATTTATTTGGTAGAAAAAATTAATTTGTTTACCATCCTTTCACTGCCATGGAGTGATTTGCCTTTTCAGTCCAGTGGATTTTACTGGGAACTTGCATTTTCTGTGTCACTTTGTCTAACAAGTTCTCCAAGGAAAACACCTGCAAGTTTATGTTCTCCGAAGGTCTTTAGGTAATTCACATGATTTATATGCCTTAATTCTATGTACAATATTAAGGCCTTTACAGGCAAATCTCAAATAAACAAAAAAGACCATGAGACGCAAGATGGGATGGCAGTGACATCAAATGGGGAAGATTTGTATCTCCTGATGCTTGATGTGTAAGAATTATTCCATATGTTAAGCTCTTTTTAGGTACCAAACAAACAGCATCTAGTAATTTATTTCCAAACAGTATTTTTAATTTAACCAGGGAAGGCAAAAGTGGCCACAGACACCTACTGCCCTCACTTCCTTCAGGGAGCAAACTAACACTCTCAAAGCAACTGCCTCGCTTGCCCCATAACTATTTTTTTATAACCCAATGGAGTACCATATAGTTGGTGAATAGTTGATCTAACAAGATTCCTCTCTAGATTTCTGCTTATACTTTATTCTAGATAATGTCTGGGTAAGACTGTTCTAATCTAATCTTTGTCTTTTCAGTTCATTAAAATAAGATATTATCATGTATTTTACAGCTGGAAAAGGATAGAGTAACTTGGTCTCTGCCCTCAAAGATCTTGCAGATCAAAAGGGGAGACTGATATTGAACAATTCCTCACAATGAATAATAAAGAGTATTTTATTAGGTGGAGTATAAAAATCGGTGGAAACAGAGAGCTAGGAAATCACATTGAATATAAGGTGAGAAAAGATCTTGATGATGTGATGTTTAAACTGAAACTCAACAGTGAGTGTTTTTAGTATTTTGACTGAGATCTGATGTGCCATGACACCAGATGCAACTCAGCTCATGTGGCTACAGAAATCAGAGAGCCACAGCATGTCCATAGGCAATGTTCATTACGCTGAGTAAAAAAGCAAAAAGAAAGGAAAGGCCACTGCTGGGACATATGAGAGATGAAGTTGGAAGTGTTTTAGATTAAGAAGAGGGAGAAGAGGGGAGGAACAGGAGGAGAAAAAGGAAGCAAGGGAAGAGAAAAGAAGATGGAAAGAGAAGGAGAAATAGGAGAAGAGAAGGAGGAAGATGAAAAGGAGGAGATCAAAATTGAAGGAAGAAGAGGAGGAGGAGCTAAGAAAGACACCTCTAAAACAGTTGTTATAAAAATCCAATTTAGGATCAAGTTCGAACATAAGAACCTCTGATCTCTTCCAGGTCTTTGTCTAGATGTTGAGGCAAAGACCTGGAAGAGATGTTTATTCATAAATTACTAAACTAAGGAGGGTACATTTTTAAAAAGGTTTATTGAGATATAGTTGACATACAATAACTTTGACACATGCAAATGCACAATTTGAATACTTTTGACCTGTGTATATACCCATGAAACCAATACCACAGTGAAGTTAATGAACAAATATATCACCCTCAAAAGTTTCCCAGTATCCCTTTGAAGTCCCTTGCCCCTGTCCCCAGGCAAAAATAATCTTCTTTCTGTAGATTCATTTGCATTTTCCGGAAATTTATGTAAACAGAATCATATAGTAACACTATTGTCTCTGGAAAAACACTATCATATTTTTAACTGGGAATAATTATTCTGAGATTAATCCAAGTTATTGCAAGTATCAACAGTTCATTCCCTTTTATTGACGAGTAGTATTTAATTATATGGATATACTATAATTCGTTTATCCATTCACTTATTGATGGACATTTGTGTTGTTTCCAGTTTGGAACTATTACAAATAAAGCTGCTATCAACATTCTTATACAAGTACTTGCATAGACATAAGCTTTCATTTCTCTTGGGTAAATACCTAGCAATGGAAATGATTGGATATTATAGTAGGTGTATGTTTAAAATTTTGAAGAAACTGACAAAATATTTTGCCAAGTGGTTGTACTATTTTTCATTCCCACCAGCAGCAAATGTGTGTTCTAATTCCTTCACACCTTCTCCAACGCTTGGTTGCTCAATCTTTTAAATATTAAACATTCTAATAGGTATCTAGTGGTGTATCATTGTAGTTTTAACCTGCATTTCCCTAACGGCTAATGATATTGAGCATATTTTCATGTGCACATTTATCTTCTTTGGTGAAGTGTCTTTTCAAATCTTTTGACTGTTTTTATTGAGTTGTTTGTTTTCTTACTATTAAGTTTTGATAGTTCTCTGTATATTCTGAATACAAGATGCTTATTAGATATGTGATTCTCAATAGGGTACAGTTAAATAAATATTTGTCTGCCTCATATGGAAAAAGGAATATTTAGGATATTTTATTTTTACTTAAAATAATATAAAGGAAAACAATAAATTCAGAAGTGTTTATTAGTATACATATAACTATATTAACACATTTAAATATGTAATCATATATATTTATAATATATATAAATGAGTAAATCAAAAGAAATTCAGTGAGCCAGCAAATTTTGTCTACCATTGAAATAACAAATATATTAAGCAAGAAGTGAGAAGTTGCTACAGTAAGAACTGCCACGTTCCCTGACTTGATCTGGCCTTTGTCTCCTTTTACTCCTATGAGTGATGGTGGATAGTTGCCTACAGTTCACATCATTAGCTATTAATGACTTGGTTAAAATTTCCTGTTGTTCAATCCACAGGACCTTCTAAAAATCCATTTTAAGCTCTTATTAAAGACTACACAGGAAAAAGATTTACTATTTATGGAACAACCTTGAACATATTTTCTGGCAGGCATCTTCGGAGGCAAGTGTTGCATCAGCTGAGGTTCCACCATTTCAGTGCTTAATCTCACTAGTCTAGACGATAACTGCTAAACAAGCAATTGATAACATGCATGGGTGAAGGCTATTCTAATCATTTAATAGAAGAACAGGAAAAAAGAACTGAGAGAGCAGTTTGTTTCCTTACTAAAGGACAAAACAGTATTTAAGACACATCAATAATATAGTTCTGAAGGGCAGTGTATTAATTCAGATAGTTTCACAATCATTTCCTTCCTAAGATAAAAATTAGAAGTGCAAGGAAAGTTTTTATTGGAAAAGAAATTCAAATTGGCACCATGCTGTACATCACAAAAATAAGGTCTATAAAATTACAGGTCTGTGTGAGGAAATTTAAAATTCTATAAAGTTACCTGAAAAAATGTGGATAAAGAGACCTAACAGTGTCCAATTAGTCCAAGGTCCTCATTATTAAAATTAAGAGGTTCTAGATCTAAATACCATGATTTTATGACTCTAGCTTACATCCTACTTTGCATGTTTGTGCATAACAATGGGCACATATCAAAGAAACAAAGGAAAGGCATATAAGACAATTTTACAGTGCTAGTCACTCCTTCACTGTAACAGTTACTACTGGTGTTTGGCATGGGTGTTACTACTGGTGCTCTGCCTGGCATTGGTCTAGCCAAGATTCTGTTCCGCAGTCCTCTGTTGTTAGTTTTAACTATGTAAATCAAAAAGAAATAATTTATTTAATCCTGAATTATCTGTATGCCCTTTTTATTAAAATCCTGATAACAAAACATTTTGCAATGCCACTCTAACATCATCTGGCCAAGAAAATGAGTAAAAAAACCAAATGTGCATTTCCAAAAAATATACCAAATGCACATTTCTAAAAAATAATATCCATAAAACCTGAAATCATTAGAGCAGTCTCAACAACAGCTATATATCATGACTAAAAAAGCACATTCCATCTCACATCCCAATAACACTTCACTCTTTAGAAAAGGATAAATTAATTTCAGAGAAACACAGTTAACCTGGTTTTTGTTTTTGTTGTTGCTGTTGTTCTTTGAATTAAGAAAATATGCTCTCATTTTGACATCAGAATTATTGAATGTAAATCTAGAATCAAATGTAGAGTTGGTTAATCTATCTACTGAATCATAAAAACCAGAATGTGGAGTTAAAACAAGAAATTAAGACCTACAAAAGCTAAATAATATTGTTCAATGTTGTGAAATCAGATTGCTTTACTTGGAAATACCAAAGTAAATATAAATCAATTTGGAAAGGTAGTGTATTAGACTTTGAGCCCAAGCTCTGACCCACATCTTTATAAATGAGAGCTCTGTGTAATAAATATCTTTGATTGCTTTAGGAATTAAGCATTTTTGGAATGTGATCTAAGAACAACTGATCTCATGCTGAAAGTTATTTTATAAGAATCAGTGTGTTCTAGAAAAAGGGCAATGTGCTGCTCCTTTTCAATGAAAATATTCTTTTTATCTAGCAATAATTTCTAATAAGTTAAAAACTATTATGCATACCAATTTATGGTATGTATATCCACACATTTATCATCTTACCCTAAGATAAAAGTGTTGTAAGTGTGTTTTGTTAAGGGATGAGCAAGTTTGCTGTTTATAGTAACACTCTTCAAATAGTTCATAAATATTTGTTGAAGGAATGACTCATTAAGAAACAAATTCAAGTGAAATGATGAAGCTCTAAATTGACCTTTAAGGTATTTGTGCTAGGATTAAACAAGCACATAAACTAGAGATAAGTTTGAATGGACTTTGAAGGCTTAGTCATTAAGTAGTACAGGGGCTTAAATGAGTGAATAAATATAATAAAACATATGTAAAGTCAGCCCTGAAATAGAAGAGTGTGGAAACAGTTTTCATCACACTGGGGACACTAGTTTTCTGGTAGAATAGTTGGAAGAGTTTGCTCCCGAGTGATCAAGCCCAGGCATACAACGTTTACTCCAAATTTCTCCATCTCTCTTATACCTTCCATCATTTGCCCTGTCTGCTCCAGTACAATATATTCATATGCCAATTTTGTTGTGGCAAATTTTGTTGTTCTCATGACTATACATACATAAAAATAGATAACATTATATTAAAAGGGATTAAAATTCACTCAATTTAACCTTTTATATATAAGAAAGAACTACTTATTTCTACTTTTTGGGTGAGAAAGAATGTTCATTCATGCCAAGGCTAGTCACTTGGGCTCCAACTCACTCCTTCCCTTCCTAAGGGAAACTCTTTTCCCTGTGTCTAGTGAACATGAATGAGGAGATTTCTGGGCTCTGCCTGCAAAAATACTATACCCTGGCTTTCCTTTCTCTGACCCTACTCTTCAGAGTTACAAAACTACCCCTGCTCAGACAGCTTCCTCATGTTATTAAATGCTGTATTTCAGGTGTGCCCTCATAATTTCTGGTAAAACATCCAATAATTTTTCCCAAAAATTCTTCCTTTCCAACCTGACTGATCTCCTTAATGGACTTGAGTCTCACATGTATTTGCCATAGTTATTTTTAGTCTGATAGAAATGTAAATGTTTATGTAGTCCATCTGAAAAATGTTTGAACATTACTTTGAATCCAGCCAGAGAGAGTTTACTCCAAAAGCTCACACAGTTTGAGAGAAGGATTTTTTTTTTTTTAACCAATTGTACCTTTCTGAAGTTGAAACTCTAACTCAACACAACAGTTCTCCCAGTGCAGTCTGGGACACTTGGCTGTCTTTGAGATCCTTTTAGGGAATCTGCAAGGTCAAAATCACATACAGGTAAAAGATACACTCAAAATCCTAGGTAGATCAAATAGATTTCATGTTACAAAGTATGAAATGTTTATTGAAATGGATTCGGATTCCACAACTAACCTTTGAGAAACTACCATTTGTTGAGTTTTTTTGACAGATTTATTCACAGTTATAATTCACATACAACATAATTCAAATATTTAGAGTATATAATTCAATAGTTTGTAATATATTCACACCTATATATAACCATCTCCACAGTCAGTTTGAGAACATTTTCATCACCACAAAGAGCAATCCCATATACTTTAGCTATCATTGGTCCATCCACCTCAGCAACAAACAACCACTAACCTACTTTCTGTCTCAATCGATTTTTCTTATTGTGGACATTTCATATAAATGGAACCATACAATATGTGATCTTTTGTGCCTGGCTTTTTCACCTAGTATAACGTTTTCAAGATTCATCCATGTTGTAGCATGTATCAGTGTTTCATTCCCTTTAATGACCAATATATTATTATATGAATATACCACAATTTGTTTATCCATTCATCTCTCGATGTACATTTGGGTTGTTGCCACCTTTTGGCTATTTTGAATAATGCTGCTATAAGTATTTGTAAACAAGATTTTGCATGGACGTGTGTTTTCATTTCTCTTGGGTATCTACCTAGGAGTGGAATTGCTGGATTATATGTTAACTCTATGTATAGTCATTTAAGCAACAGCCAGACTGCTTTTTAAAGTGACTGCACCATTTTCAATTCCCACCAGCAATATATGAGCATTCTCCACATTCTTCGACAATTTCTCCACATTCTTTGCCAACACTTGTAATTTTCTCTTATCATTATTACTGTTATAATCATCCCAATGAGTTTAAAGTGGTCTCATTGTGGTTTTGATTTGTATTTCCTTGATGACTAATGATGTCAAGCATTTTTTATGTGTTTATTGGCCATTTCCTTTGGAAAAGAAAGGAGTCCCTTAGTAACCTTTTCAGATAATTGTGGATATTCTTCTTTGGAACTACATTAGAACTTAACAAGTGGGTGAGAAGACTCTTTCCTTATCCAGATATTTATGTTACAAAGCTAAATATTCCTTATTACTTCAACCAAAAGAATATAGTAATTATAGAAGCAGATGTGAGAATCCAGCTGTGTTCTATGAAGACAGACATTAAAGAGATTTGCAAAGATGTTAAAGAATGCCACTCATCCCACTAATATTTTTGTTTTGAAAAACATAATTATTTT